CCCCAAAACCCCAAAACCCCAAAACCCCAAAACCCCATATAATTAAAATTTTATTGAATTAGCACATGTTCCAAAATAAATCCTCGATGTTGGAATTAACAATCATCATCTAATATGTTGTTGTCTTTCTTTCTATTCCCAAGAAATTTCACTTTCTTAATGACATCATCATTGCTAAAGTTGTGTTCTTCCTTTTGTTTGTTTTCTAAGATTTTATTGCTCTTGCTAAGTTTCTTGCCTTTTGTGCTCTTTAGATCTGACAATCAGCCTGATTTTGGAAATTTGATAATATGTGCTCTCTGAATAGCAAATTCCTTCTTCATTTTCTCATAAGAATCTAATTGAATATTAGTAATCGTGAAATGAATTCAGATATTTTGCAAGAAATATTATTACAATATCAAAAACCTGGCTTTACAAGATTTCCAGAGCTGGAGAGACCACAAATAAAGAATTAAGAAATTGAGAGAGAAAGAAAGCTGTTATATAAAAATCATTATTGTGCAATACCTATTTGATCCTCCTCTGATTCTTCTGATTCACAAGAGCTTTGCCTATATTGATTTTTTTCTCAGGAAATACTCATTACCACTTTCGTTCGATACACACCAGTTTTTGAATGTTTGAGAGGAATTAGTGGTGAGTTGGTCTTTAATCACATCTGAGGCATCCTTACTTTCTATTTTGCATAGATATACAGAATATGGTTACTTTTTGAGGATAATACTTCAAAATCATTTTCTTCATCAGAATCTGTTTTCAATATATTCTCTTTTAGGTTTACTTCATCTAAAAATAATACTGACGAAATGTTTTATTAAGGTTCTGAAGTTGAAGATCAATAAAACATATTCTAAAAACTAGTCTCTGGTTTCTTGTCAAAATTACCTTTAGATTCAAGTCAATCCTCAAATTCATTTTCTCCGTGACTCCCAATTGTCTTATTTAGGTGTATGGATTTTGCTACAAATTGATATAATGTTAATAATTAAAACAAGTTTTAAAATCTTACTCGTTAATCATGAATTCATGAGTGTTGTTCAAAGACTTTGACCTAAAACAACATGAAACCACGTTATGTTTTGAGGTGAATACGTACAGATTTGATGAAAAATTCCTTTTCTTATTTCTTTTTCTTCTGTGTTTACTCTTTCTGAATCCAAACTCATTAGTATTCATAGACTCTTGTTGGTTTACTATCCTTGAGTCAAGGACTGAGAGATACTCCTGCATGCTATGATATCATTTAAGAAGATCTATATTGATTGGGAGAAAAATACCAGAAACTTCTGTTTCAAGTTGAGTGATACGATCTTGCTGCGTTTTAACAGTATTGCTCAACAATCTAACACACGAATGTTTTTCGAATTCAGATTTCCAAATCTCAAATTCACATTGATCTCATTTGATAGGAAATCGGTCGCATTCTTTGTAATGCATCTCAAGGTTGATTCTTGCTACCATCTCGTTGCAATGATCTCATTTCTCTGGGGTATATTTACATCATGCTTGATGCTCATTTAAGGATCCTAGAGCAAGATTCACTCAGAAATAAGATTTCCAAGATGATAAATTTCTGAAATATGGAGGCTTACCTTGCTTTAGTTTATTTATCTCACCCATATTTTTCATAGGGGCATTTAATTCTGATTCCTTTGTAAGTAGAAAGATAAAAACCGTTTGGATTTTTGAACTCCCTACTTGTTCACCTGTAGGGGCAAACTTTCTTACACTCTAACCATTTTGTGATGCATTGCTTTCAGAATACTTTATTGCAACCGCTTCATTCTTTAGGCTTTTCGACCAAATTATAGCATATCCTTCAGAAAAAGTTATCTAACGAGTAGCAAGTCATTGGGAAAATGATTCTATCTGACTTCTCAAATCTTGTTAAGTTAATACAGCTGTCCTTCTAAATGAAAATAATTGTAAAAACTCGCTTTTAATCTCATTCTCTAATACCTCCTTTCGTTCAAGTATTGAAAATTAGGTTAACACAATAAAAATAACCCAGAATTGAGCAATCCCAAGAACCTTACATTAAATTTTAGATCTTGTCTGAATTTGAGTTTCATAGTACCTGTAATAGATTAATTATGCTTATAATAAGCTAAGCGAAAACTAAGTTTATCAATTCAACTGGTGAAAGTGGATTTGGAGTATCTGTTGTACTAAATATTTCAAAGCTTAAGCAAACACTCTTCTCTTATATCACTCCAGAAGATTGAAGTTTAGAGGAGTTCCATTTTTCTTACTTGATAATAAAGTTTTTAATTAATAAGATTTGTCCAATAACCTCACTTTGTTTTGGGGTTTTGGGGTTTTGGGGTTTTGGGGTTTTGGGGGCTTTTGGAAAA